GAGAGAGAGAGAGAGAGAGAGAGAGAGAGAGAGAGAGAGAGAGAGAGAGAGAGAGAGAGAGAGAGAGAGATGGCGTCTGCTGCTTCCCCCCACCCCTTCTCTGTGAAATGACTTGAGAGATGAAGAATAAGTCGGAGCATTCGGGTGCAGGTGAAGTACCACTACTCTTAACGTTGTTTTGCTTATTTCATGAGGCGGAGCCAGGGCTTTGCCCCTGCTTCTCGATCCATAGCGACATTGCGTTTTGATCCTTGATGTCGGCTTTTCCTATCATTGTCGAGCAGGATTCACCAAGTGGTGGATTCTTCACCCACCAACAGGCAACGTGAGCTGGGTTTAGAGAGCGGGGAAAAGAAACACAAAACAATTAAGCAATAAAAAAAAAAAAAAAAAACAATCAAGAAATCAATATCACTGATGGATTGATGGATTGATTGGGAGAGAGAAAAACGAAAAAAAAAAGGTGGGAATACAAACTGTGAACGCGTGGCCTATCAATCCTTTTCCGTTTCTGGACTTGAAGGTAGAGGAGGAGGAAGGGGAGCAGGAGGGGGAGGAGGATGAGGATGAGGATGAGGAGAAGGATATGGCGGAAGAGGAGGAGGGAGAAGAACAAACTGAGGAGGAGGGGGAGGAAGAAGAACAAGAGGAGGAGGAGGAGGAGGAGGAGGAGGAGGAGGAGGACGAAGAGGACACGGAGGAGGAGGAGGAAGAAGACGAGAAGTGGGAGCTTTATGGTGCAAGTGAAATACCACTACTTTAACGTTTGCCCTACTTATTTCGTGAGGTGGAGCCGGGGCTTTGCCTCTGCTTCTCGATTCATAGCGACATTGCTTTTTGATCCTTGATGTCGGCTCCTCCTATCATTGTGAAACAGAATTCCCCAAGTGTTTGATTGTTCACCCACCAACAGGCAATGTGAGCTGGGCTTAGAGAGGGGAAAAAAACAAACAAACCAATCAATCAATCAATCAATCAAAAAAAAAAAAAACAATCACGAAATCAATATCACTTATTGATTGATTGATTGATTGATTGATTGATTGATTGATTAGGAGAGAGGAAAAGGAAAAACAAAGCGAAAAAAAAGAAAGTGGGAATGCAAACTGTGAGAGCATGGCCTATTGATCCTTTTCCGTTCTGGACTTGAAGGTAGAGGAGGAGGAGGAGGAGGAGAGGAGGAGGGGGAGAAGAAAAAATGGTGGAGGAAGAGGAGGAGGAGGAAGAGGAGGAGGAGGAGGAGGAGGAGGAGGAAGAAGAACAAAAGGACGAGGAGGAGAAGGAGGAAGAAGAAGAGGACGAGGAGGAGGAGGAAGAAGACGAGAAGTGGGAGTTTCAAGGTGCAAGTGAAAAAACACAACTTTTAACGTTGCTCTACTTATTTTGTGAGGTGGAGCCGGGGCTTTATCCCTGATTCTTGATCCTAGGTGCAGGCCCTCGTGGCCTATCCGATCCAAGCGAAAG